CCCCAAAACCTTGGAAAAAAAAAAAATTTTTCCCCCCCCCAAACCGATTTTTGTTCCTTTCTTTTTTTTTTTTTTTTTTTTTTTTTTTTTTTTACCTGTTCTTGTATTTCAGGTTGTGATGCGTTTACTTTTTTAAAAAAAAATAATACGGTAACCAATTATAAAACACGCAATAAATATTACATTTTGTCACATGCAATCATCAAAAACGATTCTGTGGGTTGTGGCGGTAATCAGATCTGGATGTGTGGCAAATGAAATAGAAATATCTTTTATTGTTCCACTGCAGAGAAATTCAGTAGATTCACCAGCTCTACATGTCGGTGCTGGGAAAGGCGACAAATTATGGGAATATCTTGACTCTCATGTCCACACAAGCAAATTCTGAGATGCAAACATTTTATCCTCACATTAGCGTGAATTACGAGCTCAAACTTTTTTATAACCCTCCAAACTTTGCTTCTCGTTTTTCCAGCGTTCTTTGTTGTAGTTTTCTGTCATTATCGCCGTTTCTCTTCTGCTGCGTCATCTGCTCCGTTGTTACTTTACTTTCTGCCAGGCTCTGACTTTTACGTAGAATCGAAATACTTCTTAAAAAAGAGTGAGCGCTGATAAGATTTGAATGTTTGTCATAAACTCCCAAAATGGATCCATTTAGTAATTTCTCGGGTTTCCATTTGTGTTTTGGGGACAGGCAGCGCGAATTACGACTTCATACCAAAATGAATAAACGCAAACGCCATCAAAACTTCCTCCTCCCGTCCCGAAAACACTGCGTCCGTCTCATCTGCTCATGAATCTAAAATGCTGTCTGCCTGTAAGCTGGTACTTCGTCAGGGTTGGCAGGTCTGCGTTTTTATTCTTCTGCTACTGACGTGGCGTGCATTGTGAAATGTAAAGCGGATTTGAATTTGAAAGAGTGACAGTATCTCTCACTGTTGGCTCAGTTGGGGGGGTAGAAAGATTACCGCAGCGTGTCCGTCTGTCACCAGAAGTGGGCTGGCTGAGAATATCTCGCAGAGAGGCAACATTAAAGGAGAAACGCTTTATGCAAAGCAGCATTCAGTCTATGAACTCTGAGTGCACTCTGCAAATCTTCAGTCAATAATTGATTAGGTCTCAAACACGGCTGCACGGTTAGACTCCTTGTGGTCGAGCCGCCGCGATGGTCGCACGCTCGGGTTTGTCAGCGTTGCTTTCCAGAGGTTGCGCAAGGTAAGACCGAGAGGCTGGCGTCCTGCTCATGTAACTGTCTGGAGCTGATTGAGAGGAGGAACGCAGCTTGTAGTTATTGTGGAGATAAATGTCCTATCTTCTTGTGCTGGGGGTGGGGGGCTTTAACCCGGTTTCCAATTCGGGAAGTCCCATTTTCAAAGCTGTGTCACCGCAGCTCTGAAAGCAATCAGTTCAAGAGCTGCGTTACCTGTAATGAAAGATTTTAAACGCGCTGATTGCATTGTTTGTTTTTCCCTGATGCTAATGCATTCGGTCGACCCGAGCAAAGTGCTGTGTTTGTTTTCAGATGGAAATGATTCATTCTGTTCCTGTTCTGTTTGGAAATCAGATTGCTTGATTTTTTTTTTTTTTAAGGCTGGTAATCCTCTCTAGTCAGAAGAAACACAAACTAAGAGGTTTCAAGGGAAGATTTTTCATAGGCAGCACAAGGTAGAATTTTCCAAAATGGACGGTTAATTGGCTTATTTCTAAATTTCCATGAGCTGTTTGTGCTCCAGATGTTTTCTACAAAACATCTGGATTCACGCGGAGATTAAATACACACACCCGGGCTGTGTGCAATTCACAAGTGCGCACTTTATTTGTTGATCCCTATAAAATCCCTATAAAACACATTGAATTTGGCGTTTTATAACGCAGCAAAACGCGAATGTCATTGGACTGTGAGCGAACAGAACGTAATCAGCCCTCAGGTGAAGGACAATCAGGTTTCAGTCACCTCAGGTTAGTCAATCATTATTAGAACAGGCTGTCAGAATGTGAGTTTTAGACGAGTGTTGCTGGTTAACACGTTCTCTCGCCGTTCTAGGCCGAGCCTGTGATCCTGGACCTGCGGGACTTGTTCCAGCTCATTTATGACATAAAGCAGAGAGAGGAGATGGAGAAGAAGGCCCAGAAAGACAAGCAGTGTGAGCAGGCCGTCTACCAGGTACTCGTGAAGCATTTTTATTTTATTTCATTACATTTTTTTTGTCTTGTGTAATGTCAAGCGTTCCCTGCCTTAAAACGAGAGCCTTTTGACAGGTGAGCTCTGAATATAGATAAAAAGAACGCCGGGTGGACACTTTTCGGCTCCGTTAATGGCACCATCTGCACATTGTGCTTATTCCTCCCCCTCTTCGCATCTCCTGCTTAATTTCTTTTTATCTCGCTGTAATTTTCTCTTTGATGATTGCCCAATGATTATCTGAATGCTGGGAAGTCTCTCTGTGCTTTCCGCCTACCGCTTCCACTCCACTGGCTTAACTCTCCACCTCTCTTCTGTCCTTTGCTCCTCTTCTCTTCTGTTTTATTTCTCTCTCTCTCTCTCTCCTTCCCTCGCTCCCGCCGGTGCGCCCGCTTCAGACGATACTGGAGGAGGACCTGGAAGACCCGGTCTACCAGGTAACTCCCTGACCAATCACATCGCCTCACTGTCACCTGCTGCACTTTCTAGCTTGCTCTTTTCTGTGTGCACTGTGGGGAGACAGCTCCGGTTTGGGGGACAGTGTGGGAGTAGCCGGGTAAATAAAAGGTGGAAGGTTTCCAGAATCATATATTGGAGAGATTATTGTGTGTGTGTGCGTTGGTGCAGCCAAGAAAATGAGTGCATGTGGAGCTGAAGTGTGTGTTAATGAGTTGTTTGTTTTTTTTTTCTTCCTTTCTTGCTGCTTAAAGTCTCCATGTATGTCTGAGATCTGTTCTTCAACTGCTTTTTAATGACGATGCTCTTTACTAATCACCTCTGCAGTTTCCCCCACTTTTTTCTCTCAATTTCTCAAAATCACCCAATTTTTTCCTTCTTCTGCTTCTTCTTCTGTTTTTCTTCTTCTTTTTTTCTTTTATTTCTCCCCTCCGTCTCCTCACCCCTCCACTGCTGCTGACGTTGTAGTACATTGTGTTTGAGGCCGGACACGAACCCATCCGTGACCAATCAGAAGAAAGCATTTATCAGGTACTCGCAAGCTCACGTCCTCTGCTTGTGTCTTGCTTTAGCTTCTAAGTTGTAAGTAAACTGCTGACGAGCCGCTGAAAGCGTGTAAAGTTCCACAGATTTAATCTCCTCCATTTACCGGACGATCTTTATGGGCTGCATTACTCTTTAATGGGATAAAAGTATCGTGGCCGCTTCATAAAATTAATTGCTCCTGTTTTTAAAGCACAAAATGTGCAGTTGGGAAGTGAAAGGCTGTAAATATGGGCGGAAATGTAGCAGCCAAAAAGTTTCTCGGAGGACCGGTCCTGTTAAAGCCCGCAAGTCTAGGGAGATGAGTCGTTTTCTCCTGCTCCTTGGAGACGGGGGCAGACCTCCGAGGGATGATGAAGTTCGGTGGGGCGGGGGGATGCAGAGAGGAGAGATGCTGTGGTTACTTCAGGCGTCACCGTGGAAGGCAGACCCACCATCCCCGTGTACCACACCTCCGTTCCCCTCTTTTCCAAGCAGATGAAAGCAAGTGGAAGGGGGAAGAAAGATTAATCACCAGCCCCTCGTTTGATCTTTAAATAAAATGGATTGAAAGGGTTGGGGTGGCGGGCGGGGGGGAGGAGTGTCCTGGCACATGCACAATCGTACAAAAACAAACACACATGCTAGCAAATCCCTGTGCATACATCAGGCGTAGGAAACCAGCGGGCTGAGCCAGCCTGCAGCCACAGAGGAGCTGCTGGATGAATAAAAATGGCCGCTTCTGGAAATAGGCATGTGGAAGACGTAAACAAGGCATTGAAAGGAGGCGACGGGATGAAGGAAGCTGTGCCAGATTTATGTCCAGATTTTTTAGTTTTTGTTTTTTTTTCTTTCTTAGCAGTGTTGGTTTTCATTCACAACTCAATCTAATTAGAACACAGCAACAGTGTCCTTCAAAAGTATTAATATCCTCTGAACGGCAAACGTGTTTATTTGGATATTATGTCACTACAATGCGGTACATGGCTTTTTAATTCTTTTACAAGTACAAATACCTAAACGTATTTGCATTTGATTGTTAAATTCAGCTGCCTTTACTCTAGAGTGCAAACAGCTGCCTTCGAATGTCACCTAATTAGTGAAGTAATGGAGTCTCTATATACAGATTTAGTTGAAATTGAATGTTGAGAAGTTCCCATTTAAAGTTTAACACCACCCATGCAAGAGACACAACAAACAGGTGGCTGGTAATGTCCCTGTGGTAAAAACATGGTGGTGGCAGTATTATGCTATGCAAATACTTGCCTCTAACAGACACAAGGAAAGCTGGTCAGAACTGAGATAAAGGGCAATTCTGGGGGAAAACATGCAAAAGACTTATTGGAGTTCAATCTGGAATCCTAAACTTAGTCAGTATGAGAATAGAGTAAATTAAAGCATATTTATGTCTTTGAATGGCCAAAATCAGTGGCATGACCTGACAGAGCTCCTTCAGATCTGACTGAGTTTGAGTTATCATGTAAATAATATGATAACTTGCGCAAAAGCTGATTCTACAAAATATTGGTAAGAAACTGAATAGAATAACTCGTTGCACAATTTCTGTTTAAAAAAAACAAAAAAAAAACTTTAAAAGCCAACCATGTATCCCAACCCTGATTTATGTTGGTTCGTCATCTAAAATCCTAACAACACACACTAATGGCCGAGGTTGGAAAATGTGAAAAGTTCAGAGGATGTGAACACTTTCGCAAGACGCCGCAGCTGCGCGAGCGCTTCTCTAAACTCTGTGCAATCGACGGAGAACGCAAACAAAAGAGGCGACTTGATTCATACTTGCGTTCTACTATCACATTTTGTGATCGCGCACATACAAAGCAGTCGGTCTGACACTGAGATATTACATGTCTCCATGTGTGACAATGTGAGTTATTACATGTCTGAAAGTGTGATCGGCAGCCTGGATAAGGCCTTTATTAACCTAGTTGATGAGGTTTCATTCCGCCGATTTTAATCCCGATCACATCCCAGCGCCACACAAGTCACATCAGTCACCGGCGACTGATGTGACTCACGGCGAGGCCAGTCGCAGGGATTCGTGTTGGCTACCTGTGTGTCGTCGTGCTTGGAACAGTTGACGTGTAATGTCTGATTGCCTACTGATCCGGAGGTAACGGGCTCTCTTGGCTGTTCTCTGAATCCATTGGTCAATTGTGTAGGTGCCCACCAGTCAGCAGAAGGAAGGGGTCTATGACGTCCCAAAGCGACACCCAGTGAGTGACCGAGTGTTGTCGCCCGCGTTCCCGGTCATCTACCTCAGCCTGCCTCCCCATTCCCAGACAAACCTCTCAGCTGATTCACCATCACTCAAGTGGAATGAAAACACCTCCTAGATTACAGCTTTAACCTTTGATTCTCCTTCAGATTAACAGCTGCCCCTCACACTGATCAGGATTATCTGATCGCTTGCCCTGAGAGGTTTGCTGGGATCCAGTGCCCTGTGCGGTGTCCTGTTACTGCTTTGTGCCGTGACCAGTGGTGGCTCGTGTCCTGCTCCTCGTTGCTCCGCGGTGCCTGCTTCCTATGGTTTTCTGGGACAGTGTGTGTGTGTGTGTGTGTGTGTGTGTGTGTGGCATGCGAGTCGGCTCGGCGAAGCATGCCTGGCGATGGTTAGACAGTTGTGAGTCCTGTGAAAACCTGCATGGCCGTGTGTCAGATTGCATTGAACTCATGCTGTGTCTGTGTTATCTTTTGACTCCTATTGTGCATGGCATTACTTTGATAATGTATTTTGTATTTGGAGTGGTGGAGCAGATCTTTATCCTGTTAATGCATACAAGTGTTTGAACGTGTGGTTTACAGATGTGGTGACATTTAATGGCAGCGCTTTTGAAGATAAAAAAAAAAACTGTAAAATACATTCATTTTTTGAGAAATTTCTAAGAAACTGACCTATTATATCAACACACAGGCCAGTTTATTTTAACCACCGGTAACTTTCCGATCAAACCCTGGTGTTAAATTAGCCACGAGTAAGCAGATTGAGAGCTGGAAAAACATTTCCAATGCTCACCGTTAGAGATCTGTAGCAAAGAGTAGCATCTTAGGGAGACCGTGTGTTCATTACAGCCTTGAAACACTGCAACATGCCAACCAGTGTCTTGATCTGCATGTGTCTTTTCTGTTCTGCCATCACCAGCGTAAGCATGGAGTTTGATGAATTCCACTGGAGCCATGTGATTCAGTCACATTTGACTTAAAACTTCATCCCCCTTCCTTTTTGTTTGCTTTCACTTCAGTGGTATTGGAAAACATTACACCACATGAAAATAACACTGGTTTCATCTTCTGACGCATTTGGCACAGTAGCATACACCATTTGATCACCAGCTGTCACTCAACCACATTAAAACTGCAAGACTCATACGAGATGTATATTTATTAAACAGATAGTATTATGTAAAATACATTTTTTTAGCTCTATTTTATATTATGAGATATTATAAGATGTTCCTTTACCAAAACATGCCTGGAGTGTTGCTTTGATCCTTTCATGCATGTTTAATCTCCCGTGACAACTATTCAGTCTTCGAGGCGCAGCTCCTCCTTAGAGCTTCAGTTTCCAAGGTTCCACTTCACAGAGCAATCCCCCCTCTCAGCTCCTTCAGACTAGCCAGTATCAATTAGCAATCACCTGGTGGAACTGAGCATCTGCTGAGCTCATTACAGGAGCTACTTCTCAGTTGTTAAAAGGTTAATAGAGGAGCATGTCGTGATGACTTTTTGAAGGCAGAGTGTCGGAAAGAGCAGGAGTTTTTAAAGAGACAGAGGTCCAGTTTCAAGGTGTTAAATTACAGGGTCAAATGTCTTTTAAGCTGTATTTGACAGAGCATTTTCATCACAACTGAAGGAAACAAAGTTACTCATTTGCGCTTTAAAATGGTATTATGTGCCTGGAAAATACATATTACTTCCCTTTAATGCATCAATAACAGTTAAAATGTAACAAGAACTCTGCTTGATCTGACACATCACTGTGACATACAGTTGTGGTCAAAAGTGTACATACACTTGTAAAAACTCATAATGTTATGGCTGTCTTGAGTT